TGGCTCAGGATTTCCCCGCAGAGTTAACGCTGACAGGTGGATACATAACTGACCTGAACAGAAACGTGTGTAGGAAGGGAAGGAGATGAGAAGAGTCCCAATCAGCCCAGGGAGGTGCTGGTGAAAACCCAGTGGAGTAAATAGAGGGAAGAAAAGAAAGGCTTTGACTTTGGGTTCTAGACACCCATATAAAATATGCCTAGGTGTAGGGGGCTGGGGATTTAGCTCAACAGTATAACCGCCTGCCTGCAAGCAGGCAGTCGTGAGTTCGATCCCCGCTACTGATAAAAAAGAAAAAGACAAAAAAAATATGCCTAGGTGTTTTAGAACATCTGTAAGATTCTTCAGATGTAGTGCTTTTTACATATAAGTAAATGAATTCTGGTAGTTTTGCATTTCCTCTACTTCTATGTATACACAGTAGTTTTCATCCCATGCTACATATTAGAATCACTTGGGTGGGGGGTTAAAGATAAGTTGCCAGGGCTTAATACAGAACAGTTAAATCCGGAATTCTTTAGGCTGGAATCTGGGTTTTTCTTTCTCTATCTCCCTGCCTCTGTCCCTATCTCTTTCTTTCTCTCTCTCTGCCTTTCTCTGTCTTTTTCTGTCTCTGTCTTTGTCTGTCTGTCTCTGTAATTTTTTCCAGTAGATCCTGTTATACATTGAGAAGTAACAGCTGAAATAGAAATATTGTTATAAGTGTGGTGCTTGTGACTTCAACTGAGATGAATCCAGCAACCTAATTCTGGAATTTAATGGTTCCTGGTGGCTATAAAGATGTGTCTTTAGATGATAGCAGTGTATGAATTTTAAGGAGCCAAGTCAGAACCCTGGTTCTACCCCTTACTACATGTGAGGCCTTGAACAAGCTGCTCACTTGTCTGATCCTAGACTTTGTGCCTATAAACTGGAGATAACATCTATTTAACAGGGTTATTGAAAGAATTAAGCAAGAGAACAAACTGTCATTTCTTCAATATGTTCCAAGTTATTAAGCACTTCTCCACAAAATCCCACTGAAGGTATCTGAGATAATCATCAAACTACATTTACTAAACTGGGAGTTGTAGGGGACACAAGAGACCATAGAATCTAAATTCAAGGGAGCTTTTGGTCAGCTAGAAGAATGGCCAAGTCTTGCCAGATAAGTGCAAGGATTTGAACTTAAAATTTAACAAAACATATAGAGTCACAAGATATGAGAGTAGCTCCTGTGCAAAAAGGTCTGTGAGTTTCATAGACAAAATTTAATAAGTGGCTGTGACTGTTCAGAAAGCTGATGTGGTCAGAGGTTGAATTAAAAGAAATGTACAATGCTGATCTCATGAAGTCAGACTCTCTGTGCTCTGCCCTGGACTGAATCCCATTTTAAAAATTCATTCACTCATACAATGAACATTTATTGAAGATCTACTATGTGCCCTCTTCTAGACACCAGGGATACATCTTCCTTGCCCCATTGGAGTTTAAATTCTATTGGGTTGGATTGGGGAGGCAACACTCAAATATATAAATTTTAGGAGTCATTTGAAAGTAATAAAAGCTATAGAAAAAATTAAGCTAGACAGGGAGACTGTCACTGTCATAAATAGGAGTTATTTGCAATTTTAAGTGGGCATCCAGGGATGACTTCATTGAGAAGGTGATATTTGGGCAAGGTTTGATGGCATTAAAGAAGATAGGTGGATATCTGCGGTGGAGGTGGGGTGCTCTAGGTAGAAGAAAACTATAAATGAGAAGATTTTGATGCAGATGCACCTGTCTTATTCATAAAAAGGAAGTCTTAACTGAAATATTGTAATAGGCCCATTGTGTCTAGACCTCATTCTTGCTCTTTTAAACTGAGTATACAGGTAAAATGTTTGAGAAAAACAATTTTCTCAAAAACAATTTTAAAGGTGAAAAACTTTTAAAGACTGTATAAATCATCCACTATTCAAGTATTTTTGACATTTTGCGTACTTATTCCATCTTGTAAATAGACCAACATGCAGAATTAGCAGAAAATAAGAGATTGAGATTTATTTGGGGGTGGGTTATCTAGGGCTCCATTTCTAGTTCTAGTTACCCAGTTCTGCATTCTTAGTATGTGATATTCAAATGTGGGCCTCAGCACACTTTCAACTAACTATGAGTAAAATCTAGCCTTTGAGTTGTTTCAAACAGTGGGAATCTCAAATTTTTTTGTTGTTGGGTTTATAGTTTCTAAACTCTTTGCCACTTTAGGTAATGAATGAAATGTGCTGTTAAAATTTCTTTGCTGTTGGTATTAAGCATTATTTTCTGTGTTTATTGATCATTTACAATGTTTCTTCTGTGATTTTCTTACTTAACGATAAATTTATAAAATACAGTACCTAAACCAGAGGTTTCTAGAGGTTGTTGAGTTGAATGACAAAGAATGTATTGCTCCATTAAAAGTTGTAATCTTGAATAAAAGTCTATTACCAAAATCAACCAATGGAATATGACAGAGCTAACAACATATCTCCCCAGCCTACACCTTAGGTGATCTAGTGGTCTTACAGCTTGTGCACTTTCCCTTTTGGAAAGTAGTCACCAAATGATGAAGTTGGAGCTTGATGACGAAATGATGGGAGACTAAGTGAAGACAGAAGGAGGGAGGGATGGAAAGAAGGAGGAAGCCAGAGAGAAAGAGAGAGAGGAGAGAGAGAGAGAGAGAGAGAGAGAGAGAGAGAGAGAGAGAGAGAGAGAGAAACGGCAACAACTCAAGGATCAGCTAGGCCCAGTGGAACAATAATGATTTGGCCCATTGACCTGTTTGAATTTTTGACTCATAGAATAATGGGCAATAAAATGGCTGCTGTGTCTTAGGACACTAAGTTTGGGGATAGTTACTTACTAAGCAAAACATAATTGATATATATAGCAATGTGGAGATGGAATTCCTGTTGTCTTCATTTGAAATGTTGTCACAAAGAAGCAGGAGTAGACTTATCCTATGTTGCTCTAAAGAGAAGAATTAGAAGCCACCCCTAAGCAGAATTTACATGGAGGAATACTATTGGTTAAATATGGGAATTGACAATGAGTACATGTCAATACTGAATGGGTTATTTTGTGAGGAGTGAGATAACTGTCCCTAGAAGTATTCTTGTAGAGGCAGGACAACCATTGATGAGGAACTGTGTAATTGGGATGAATCAAAGGAAGTTTAAACTACATAATCTGCCAAGTGCCTTCAAATTTCATGATTTTCTCAGTGAATGAAAATGAAGAAGAAACTTGAAACTGAGACTTATTATTGTTTCTGGATTATTTAGAGATGAATATTCAGTTTGTAGAATATCTCTTTCTCCCATGGAGTCTTCTATTGTTATTTTGAATAATGAGATCAAAATGAAGATAATGGTTAAGGTATTGGGAAGCCTTAATTGTCATAAACACAACAATTTGGGATAATACAAAAGAGCTAGTACTTTCTTTTCCTACATCTGTAGTCTCTTTTTTTTGGTGATAGAGTTTGTTAGGAACCAAACATATGTGGGCTATTTGAGAAGAGAGCTAACATCAAGTTTTCCAAATGTTTTTTCCAATAGAGTCCTTAGCAGCACAATTTGAATACATGTGATAATATTAAAGGAAACTTCATTCAGTTTATTTCTGTGTGCATAGTTCAAGCATTTATTGCAATAGTATATGTAAAGGAAGAGGACTTTCATGGATCAGTTTGGAGATTCACTCTTGGCAGAGCATTTTATAGGAAAATAAGATGGTTAAAAATAATTGTTGGTACAAAATTCAATGACCAGCTGGCTTAATATTACCAGAATCTTGACTTATAGTCAGCTGCAGATGAACTGAGCGGGTGAGTAATTGTTTCCTGAAGCCAAGATTTAATCCTACTGAGTTTGTCAGAAAAATTGATTAAGCATTTTCCAAGAAGGTAATTGAATTAAATTCTGTAAAAAAATTGTTTCAGACCAACACTGAATCAAGTTTTCTTTAATTTGAGACTACTGGTGACTAAGAAAATAATTCCAAGTGATTATGGGGTTCAGGGTCACATTTACCTGAATAAAAGGAAGGTATTAGTCAGCATTCCTGCTGATGGGACAAGATGTCTGCAACTTAAAGGATGAAAGGTTATTTTGGCTCATAGTTTTCTTCAGTACATGTTTAGCCAAGCTCCAAGGCAGAAAATCCATGGTGGAAATGCATGGTGAAAGAAAAGTTATTCAGCCTGTGGTGACCAGGAAGCAGAGAAAGAAGGGATAAGTCTAGTATGAGAACACTCTCTTCTAAGTCATGTCGCAAACGAACTGTCCCTTCTGACTAGGTCCCTCCTCCAAATGTGAGACCTTTTGTAGACATTTTAGATCTAAACCACAACAAGGAACTTGCCTGATGAGAACTTGCCTTGTAAGGAAGAATACCTTTTGATTGGACTTTCTGTAGATGCTATACAACAGTCATTTTCAAGTATCTGTCAGGACCAGAGAGTAGAGTGACAGTTGTTTAAATCATATTTTCCTATCTGTGGTAGAGACTCTTCAAATTTGGCTATGTATACAAGTGGCTTCTCCCACCAAAAGCTTGTCTCTCCTTTTCTTGAATCTGAGATGAAGCCAGCAGTTAGGAAAAAAGTCTGAGTATTCTGTTTGATGAACTATCAAAAACTTAGTAGTATGGTTATCTATCTTGGACACATAAACATACATACAGTTACATGTGTATACAAGTTGTTCTTTCCTTTAGAGAATAGTTTTGCTATAATTGATTGTTCATTTTTAATGCTTTGATTTTGTAACTTGAACAACAACTATATCAACTAGTGATGGTTTCTGAATGTTATTTTTGAAATTCTATATCGTTTCTACCCTTTTTTTCTCTTTTGATTTTTAAAAAATAAATAATAATGAAAAAGAAGTCTGAGTAATATGAGATCACTATGCATTGAGAAAGCTCAAATCAATCTCTTGGAGTTCTGGAAAGTGAAACATATCCCTTACCACCCCTCTCCACTTCTATTCCAGCTATTCCAGCTCAGGTGAGAGGCACATGAAAGAAGAATGTTCCAGCCTCAACAGACCCCATGTGAAGCAGATCTGCTCAACTAACCCAGACCAGTTTACAGAATTGTGAGTTATAATAAATCATCATCATGTTAAGCTCAATAAATTTTAAGATTTTTTTAATGCAGTGGTATATTACTGAGACAACCACTCTGGACTGGTTGGAACTGGGCTAGTGAGCTTGTTGGAAGCTGGAGAAGGAGTGATAGAGAGGAGAGGCCACATGAAAGTGGAGAGGTGAACCCAGAAATCAGCCTTGAAAATCCTAAAATTGTCATATTACAATTAGAAGCCACAGCTGGGAAGGGGAGAAGTTACAAGATTAAATCAAGTGCAGTTTTGCTTCCTGCCTCAAACTGGGCATTATAAATTCTGAATTGAGATGATCTTGGGGTACAAAGTGAGTATAAGTTTATCTTTTACTGTAGAGCAGGGAGAAAATTCAGAGACTTGCAGACACTACCATTCAAAGGTAGGGAGAGTAATCCCCAACTAACTAACATTAAAAGTATAGCAGGAAAACAACAAGATAACAGTAAAGGAAAACTTTGATTATTTCAGGAATTGTGTTTTATCAAAGTATACTGATCACACTTTACATGGCCAGAAGTCCAAAAGCCCCATTCTGGAGAGAGAAACTTATCTTTCAATGTTCCAATTCTTGGTAGGACTGGATTCCTGACTTTCATTCTATGTTCTCTGGCCTTTGATTATTTTGATATTCCAGCCTGGATCTCCCAAGAAACAAGAATTCCTCTCTATGATTTCCCCAAAGCATCATCTATCCAAGGCAGCTGTGTATAACAGTCTTTTGTGATCTCAGCCACCACACAAAACAATTTAAAATCTATTATAAATCCACAGTCTTCCATGTCTTTCAGCCAGTGACAAATTTTCAGTGGTTGGGATGGTAATTCTTACTTGGCTGGTCTTTCATCTCCCTTCTCTGATGTCGGGTCTCTGAACACCCACATTTCTACCTAGTGCCAAGTAGAAGTCAGATCCTCTTCCCCACCTCAAAGTACTGTCCAGCCTGTCTTTATAGGCCTCCAAACTCATAAAGGTATAAACATGTGACCATGCATACCACTTTCAGCTGATGATAATGATCAGTTAATTTCACTGGTTTTCCCTAGTGGCCAGGCTTATGTTTTAAGTAATTTAATGTCTGCTTCATAATGTCGATTTTAAAAATACCCTTGGTCTCATTTTTGGAGCATATTTCTTTGCTTTAAGATTTTAACTGATACACAATAATTATTTGTATTTATGGGGTAAACATGTATACAATATGTACTTATCTACTTAGGGTCAATTGCATATTCATTACCTCACACAATTGTTATTTGTGTCGGGAATATTTGGAGTCATGTCTTCTAACTATTTTGAAATATGCAATAAATCATTATTAACTATACTCACTCTATGTGCTATAGAACACTAGAAATCACTCCTCCTGACAAGTAATTTTATAGCTATCGATCAACTTCTCTTTTCCTTCTCCTTCCCACAGTCTAGTAACTACTACTCTTCACATCTATAACAACTATTTTAGCTACTACATATACTTGAGATCACACAATATGTCTTCCTTTGCCTGGCTCAAAGGTCAAAGACATTGGAATGCTGAAAAGTTAAGTCATGTGTTTAGGTCACATAATTAGGTAACTGACATAGGACATGAAACCAGAGAAGTTTGGTACAGGGGCCACCCACTTGACAAATGACAGTATCACTGCTTTTAAAGTTGTAGTTATCTCTTTAAACACTGATGTCTTTAGCCAATTCTGTACTTCTCTCTGGTTGATAAATTATATATACATTGGTTCACTCTCTGTTAGAGTCAGTACCACAAAGGCTGTGAATTTTTCCTTTACTTCACCTTTATTTTTAATATAAAAAATAAGTCAGATGATAGAAACTGTGGTGATTTGGTATGTTATGGGATGACAGTGGGAATTTGATATCCCAGACCTACCCAGTCTCTTATCCCTACTTATGAGATGCCTAGAGAAATTATATGCCTGAAAGAAAGGATGACAAATAGTGACAAATCAGTAGTTTCTGATGAGCTGTGGTTTTTTCTTCATACCTCAGGGCTGAATTCCAATCAGCTAGTGGACTAGAGGCCTAAAGAATCTCCTTCTCAAACAGAATCTCACTCCTCACGGGACAAAGGGCATCTAAACTCCTACCTTGTATACAGAGGAAACAACAAAACTTCCCTTTCCCTGTGTTCCTTCACAAATATGTGCCAAGCGCCACTGATCTGCCAGGCAGTGGGAAAATATTTAAACCCCAATAGATGCAGTGTCTCAGGCTTACAGCTTGTTGGGGACATAGACATTAAATAAACAGGGTTGCACACAATGATGAGAAATTAAACACATGTTCTAACGAATAAGTAGAGAATTTTATTTTGATTGAGATTGGAGTGGAGGCTGGGGAGGGAGTGAAACTGGAGTATGGATGGAATGGTTCATCAGAGGCCCATTCTGAGAATTTAGAGATGGATAGGATCCATTCAAGGGATGATTGGTATGTCCTTACAGAGGGAATAGTAAGTAGAGGTCTGGAGTCAAGGGAAAGTATGATGACTTTTGAGTGCTGGAGGAAGACAAATATATGAGGTATTAGGCACTTGATGATGGGGAGTGAGGCTTCAGATTCTAATTCTCACAGGTCATTCCTCTTTTTGATAACCTAATCCACTCTCCTCCCCTACTGAATATTAACTCAGTTGCCAAAGGGCAGGGACGTCACACAAGCTAGGCCAGTCACAGTGTGAGTTCTGAGGATCCAAATCTTAAAAAGAGCAATCCAGGGACAGAATCATTAGGACTGGGTGGTTATGATGGCTTCACATAGAGATTCTCCTCTACATTTCTGACGAAGGTATCTCAAGTCACTACATCTGCTGCCTATCCCAAAGCCCATTTATTGAGCCTTTCCTTCAATTTTTCAAGCTATTTTTTAACTTGTTGGCTGAAGTTAGCCAGGATTTATTTCAGTTGTTTGTGACTGAAAGATGAGGTAAAGAGGATAAAATTCCAAATCAGCAATAATCAAAATAGATTAGATTGTCAGTGATGTTGTCCTTTAAAGGCTATTGTGGACCAGATGTGATCTAATTTATTTGAAAGAATCACTGTGGTCTTCATGCTTCTATTTGTCGTTTCTCCTATACTGTGGGAGACAACCCCAGTGACTTCCCTTGAATGCAAAGAATTACTGTGGCTTTGATTATTTGGAGACTTATTTCCTTATACTTATTTATTTTTTTTTATTTAAGAGGAAAAAGAGAAAAACACAAAACAAACCAAAGCGGTGTAAGGATACACGTAATACAGAACTATAAAAACAAAACAAAACAAAACAAAAAAAAACAATACAAACAAACAAACAAAAAAACATAACAGTAAGAAATCACCTGTTAGTATATTACATATTATCATCTTGAAAATAGTTCCTCAAATCACAGTATCAAAGAATACAAGGTGGACATTCAAACAGGTAGACTGCAAACAGCTGTGTTCAATGTTCAATGTTCAAAAACATTGATACAGTCAGCTATTTAACACCCCTAAACACACTTGCTGTTATATCCGTTAGAGCTCTTTTTCTTTTTTTTTTCCCTCTCTTTTTTACAACAAAATTCACGTACTTTGGATTTCATTACTCCTTAGTGCTTATTACTTTTTTTTTGGGGGGGGGAGAATACAGTCAAATATGGCAAAACACAGCTGTCAGTCAATACCAAGGATAGACATAGCACATGATGTAGAACAGAGTACAAGTTTATCAACAATGGTTATCAACGTTGTCCCTTGTTTCCTTAAAAAGAATTGTCTATCTCATTAGATATTATAAAGTTGGACAAAACAGTAGAGAACAAGACCAATAAAACTTAGGCATTGTAAACATTACAGGACTTCCAAAGAAGACAATAGTCAAACCAGAATGGGTATCTTAGTGAATCTTATTGTCTTCAAAGTAGTTGCCTATGTCTTCAAACTTGATACTACCATATAGAATGGAACAGAGTCTAATCAGTCAAAACAAGATCGTGGGAGTACTACAGGACTTCAAAACAAGTTAATAGGAAATCAAAAAGAGTTACTATTTATATATCCTAATTTTTTGAATTTTTTCTTTAATTAAGACAAACATAAATGACTAAATAATTTTTTTAAAACAATAAGGGGGAGATTGAGATAAAACAGGACATAACAATATAACAATAGAGGTCACAGCATGACTGTTTCAACAACCTAGTACTTCACCACCATATAACCTGACTTAATAGTAGTTACCATAGTGTCTTTTTCCTTGATATATTTGGATAAAACTTCATATACTCTAGCTTCAAATATTTTCAAATCAAGAAGCCCAGAATAAAGCCTTTCTAATTAATGAGTGAAAACTTTATAAGGCTCCAAGGCCACCTAATGGGGAATCATGATTACCACATATTTTTATATATTTGAATCATTACTTACATTAGGGAGACTATTCGGTATTCATACATGCGAGCTGTCTATGGTATTTCCTTCTCTCTTCAATTGTCTCTAAGCATTGCAAATAAGGCTAGCCGAGGTGCTGGTATGTAATCTCTAAAGTCAACAGACACTCCTGTTTCCTCACATGGTGCTGTCTATACAGGATATATGTAGGATATGAGCACAGCAGATGTTAGAGCCAGTAGCTCTGGGAATGTCAACTGAATAGGAGCCTCACGGTAAAGAGGCTATGACTCCCCAGGGCACAAGAGTTTACATATCAGAAACCAAAGAGACAGCCTCCCAAAAACAATTCAGTTGCTACCTTAATTAGATTATGTGAATTGATCCTTCTGCATATCTCTTTCTCTCACCTGGCTAGTCAGCTCAAGTTACTCAAGTAATTCCCGCCATCCTCACTGTCACTCATCCCTGAGCCACCGCCCTTCTTCACAAGATAATACATTCTGGGAGAGGCCTAGGATTAGGATCTTTGTCCACATGTCCTCATGGGGATTGGACTTAGGACCCCTTGGATGCCCTTAACTTGGATTGTCTTGGTGTCTT